GCATGGGCAAAGTTCAGGAGTGGACTACGAGTCGCTCCCAAAGCCTAAGGGTTATACTACTACATAAGACCCAGTCGCCTCTTCGGCATGGGCAAACTTCAGGAGTGGACTATGAGTCGCTCCCAAAGCCTAAGGGCTGCAATACTGCACAAGACCCAGCTGCCTCGTCGGCATGGGCAAAGTTCAGGAGTGGACTACGAGTCACTCCCAAACCCTAAGGGCTAAAATACCAAACTCAAAGGTAGCTCGACACCTGATCAGCCCAGCACCTCACACGCAGCTCGGCATCTTATCAGCCCAGCACCTCACAGGCAACTCGGCACCTGATTAGCCCAGCACCTCACAGGCAACCCAACACCTGATCAACCCAGCACCTCACAGGCAGCCTGGCACCTGATCAGCCCAGCACCTCACAGGCAGCTTGACACCTGATCAGCCCAGCACCTCACAAGCAGCTCGACACCTGATCAGCCCAGCACCTCATGGGCAGTTCAGCACCTGCTCAGCCCAGCACCCCACAAGCAGCTCGATACTGCTTAAAACCTAGTCGTCTCTTCGGTATGGGCAAAGTTCAGGAGTGGACTATGAGTCGCTCCCAAAGCCTAAGGGCCACAATACTGCTTAAGACCCAGTTGCCTCTTCGGCATGGGCAAAGTTCAGGAGTGGACTATGAGTCGCTCCCAAAGCCTAAGGGCCACAATACTGCTCAAGACCCAGTCGCCTCTTCGGCATGGTTAAAATCAAAGAGAGTAGACTATAAGTCGCTCGCAGCACCTAAGGGATAAAGTATTGAACTGGCAGAAACCTCGGCACCACTTAAGACACAATCGCCTCTTTGGCATGGGCAAAATCTAGGAGTGGACTGCGAGTTGCTCCCAGAGCATAAGAAATTGAATCAGCGCTTACGAGCTCGTCGAATTACGGGCCGACAGGAGAAATCTACCCCCTTCACCGAGTTATCTTCAGCTCGGGAGTGGGGGGCAAATGATGAGGGCGGATTTGGCCCTCCAATGACAACATGACACCTGACACCTGGCAGCTCGCTACAGGTAGCTCACCACTTCCATGCAACTCACCACTTACAGGCAGCTCGCCACCATGCAGCAGGAAGCTCGCCACTAGGCAGCTCACCATCATGCAACACTTCACAGGTAGCTCGCCACCATGTAGCACTTCACAGGGAGCAGCTGGGTTGCGCTACACTTGGGAGCTCCACTTCAGCCCCTAAGTCACAGGCCACTTGGGAGTAGACGAGCTGACGAGGTACTTAACCAAAGAAAAATGATACATGACCAGAAACGGTTACATCAGGTAGCATTCTTGGTTATGTAAATCCGGCCTATGGGCAGATGAAGACACATGTAACCTTTGTGCTAGCCACTATAACCCATGAATACACAACGTGTGGAGCATGGTTGTAGCTTGTTTGAATTGTAAGGACGTAAGTGAGGATAGCAAGTGCACCCGAACACTTTGAGAATTGGTAGTCTGGAGGTGTGCCAAAGAGCCATTGCAAAGGACTTTGCATTTGAATTACTGGTGAAGGAAGCCGATTTATAAGATAAACTGCTGGTTCAAAGGCATCGAACCACCGATTTGTAGGCATGGAAGCATGAGCCATTAGTGTTAGGCCTGTCTCTATAATGTGTCTGTGCTTGCGTTCAAAGGAGCCATTTTGTTCATGAACATGAGGGCATGATTTTCAATGTGTGATTCCTTCTTCACGAAAGAAAGAACGCAGGGGGGAGTACTCAAAACCCCCAGCGGTTTGTAGTATTTTAATTTTGGCACCCAACAGATTTTCCACATTTTGCTTGAATGCATTAAATAAGGAGGGTACTTTAGATTTAGAGTGCAAAGGAAAGATCCAAATATATTTACTATAAGAATCAATAAAATGCAAGTAATACCGAAATCCTAGAACTGAAGGACAAGTGGTGAAGTGCTAATAGACTGACTAGGAAAAAATGGAAGGTGATGGCTCTTCCCAACTGGACACGCTCGGCAAAATGCTAGAGCTTTATTTTGAGACTGGAAGCTGATTATTAGAGCGCATGTTTGGTAACTTTGGTATTGAGATGGCCCAGACAAGAATGCCAAATAGAAGATGTGCACTTTCCTACAAATGCAGATGGTGTTGAAGGTTTGGAGCAAGAATCTACTTGCAGCTGATATAATCCACCTTTAATTGGCCCTTAGAATAGAGTTTTCCTTGTCAGTTTGTCCTTCACATAGAAACCATGAGAATCAAATAAGAAAATGGCATCGTTTTCTTTACAAAACTGACTGACAGAGAGTAAATTTTTAGTGATGTGAGGCATTTGTAATATGTTACTTAATACAAAGGAGCCAGTAGAGGAATGAATAACTGAAGAGAAACTATGAGATATTCTCAAACCTGCACCATTACCGATAGAGATCTGATCCTCACCGGTGTATTCGTCATGAACTGAGAGATTGCTGAGATCAGAGGTGAGATGGTGTGTGGCCCCTGAGTCCAAGTACCAGTTGACATCCTGATGTCGAGAATTGGATGCAGTGTAGGCGGAACCTACTGATTTTTTATGCGAACGACTAGTGAGAGCAAGGTATTTACGACAAGTAGCAGCAATATGTCCGACGTAACCGCATAACTGACATACAACATTGTTGTCCTTTTTTCTATAACTAGTATTATTAGAAGGTGGGTGGCTCTTCTTGCCATTGTAATCCTGTTGTCTTGGCTGAAACCTTCGAGAGTCAGATGCATGAGAGTGGGAAACAGTATTGGTATTAGAAGAGGTATCCTTAGTCTTCTTTGCTAGATTAGCAGAGCCCATTTCTAAGGAATGAGTAATGCGGTGCTTCTCTAACCGCTTTTCATAGGCCAGGAGAAGACTTTGTACCTCTGTAAGAGTGAAATCATAATCAGATGGCAAACCACCAAGTAAATAATGAGTCAAATCTGAATTAGACATATTATAATTGGATGCAGCAAGAGAATCAACAAGTCCTTTGATCTTCTGGATATAATCATTAGCATTTAGCTCACCTTTGGTCACATGATCTAATTCAAGTTTTAGATCATGTATTCTAGCCTTGCTAGTGAAAGGAAAAAGAGGTGTTGCATCCCAACACCTGGGCAAGAACTGGCTGTCATAGAGGATAACAACCAGCTCAAGGTTAGTTGGTCTTGTTCTTGCCATGTTGCGTATAGAGGAGGATTCCTCAAGATACTGTGATGGGCAGGGGAATGAACCGTCAACATAATAAGGAGTTTGTGGAACTACTTGTACAGACCACAAAAGATAATTAGTGCAATCCAGTCGAACCGTGACTAGATTCACAAAGTTGGAGAGTGAAATAGTATTCACTGGCTGAGTTGAAGAGAACCCAGTTGTTGTTGAACAGTGACCGAACGACATGACTGTGCAACCTTGACTGCTCTAAACCATAAAAGGCTCTTGTGTAAAAGACGAATTAAGTAACTTGAATGTTTACTGCTATGGAACATGTATATACAATGTTGAAGTTGTTACATTTGAATTCAAACTACAAAAAATTTGGAAAATTACAACAGATAAGATTATCTGTAGAAACAAAAAAACGGGGATGAGAACTGCCCAGCATCTATCCAGAGTTCTGAACAGAGTGGACTCTATTACAGACCCTACGAAGATATTTTTTTTGATGGGCTGATGTCACCATATGAAGAATTCACATTCACGGTCTAACCAAGACCATTCAGATCAACAGGTAAAAAAACGTACTCAGTCGTAAACTTTTTTACCATTTAATTTTTAGTAACTTTCTTTTCTTACCTTTTTTGCTGGCAATTTGATACTCGATCCACTTTTAGGACTTACCAGTCAAAAACATTCATTCGGGGACCTTGTGCAAAATAGTGAAATAGAGTAATTTCATTTTGGTTGTCCGCGTTTAAAAGCATAAATACCTTTTTTTTTCCTCTTTCTGAACGCTGTCGGAACATCTAGAAAATCTAGAAATTGTTCGTTTGTTGAAATCTTAACAGGAACTTCAAGTCTGGTGAAATTATGCTTTCAAGTTACAAATGTCGAGTAAACGAGTTTTTTATTTTTAAATTAAATTGAAAGCATTTTGAAACAGACAAAACCTTTCACAATACTCTGAAACTAAAATAATAGGTAAATGGACCAGGCACGATATTTTTGCTTCGGCCAATCTGGGCTTATGGATTGAAAGAAGGCTTTGGGTTAGCTTTTGCAATGAGATCATGTAATGCTTTGTTCTCATGGCACATATCTCATCTAACAACCGACACCCAAACCAAAAGCTGAATTTTAATAATCAACTAATCTGATCAATTTTCTGTTCGTTTATAATAATAATGGTAATAGAAACATAGAACAAGCCCGCAGCAACGGAGTGGTTGAGAATCAGAAATGAGAAGGCGAAAGCGCAAGTATACAAGGCTCAAAGCGCTACAACAAGATATCCCATAAATATATTTACCGTGCCAGCCAATGGAATGGACTGTTGTCTGTTAGTAACGACAAACAAAATCATCTTCATCCGTCAAGTAAGAAAATTTGAAACCCATACACAACTTTGTGTGCGCTCACGGCTCATCCCAGCATTAGATTTAAAAGAAAAGGAGAAAGTTAAAAAAAGTATACAGAAAATGACTTTTCGGGTTGGCCATTGTAGGATTGGACAGAATTGAATGGATAGGGCCAACAAAACTATTCCTTGGCGTCCCCCACCAGAGAAAAGCTTTCTCCTCCTACTCCCTCATTCAAACCAGTTGTTAGTCATCCTGATAAATGCTCGTCTCCAACGCAGCTAGTTATTTTCAAGTAATTAGGATCCTCTTAAGCTCCAATTGACAATGGAGTTCGGGACCTTTTTCAATCGTACCTTCCACTTTAATCGTGTTTCCGTCGAGGACTTGGAGATGAATGTGAAGCAAGGACAAGGCTGTGAAAAATGAAAATGAAAATAATCTCTAGCCCCACAAACTGGGACCGGAAAAGATGTTCTGGCAACACCAAAAACCCAATGCCACTGGATTGATTGAGAAACAACAATACAGTTATTAATTACTACATGAAATATTACAGATGCAGTTCAGTTCAAGCCCTCTCTAGGCTCTACCTCCCCCCACGCCCTCACATCAGTAATCTGTTCAAACAGAATTTGGATCACCTAAACAAAACACAGGATCATAACCCAAATCCCCAAAATCACCACAAAACTCCTAAAGCGACCATATTTCTAAACCTAATGTCAGTTTCTTTCTGCTACAATAATGTCCAACTTCCATCTCTCTCTCTCTCTCTCTCTCTCTCTCTCTCCCTCTGGCACACTGTACAAGCCCATTAAAATTTAAAACCACTCGATCATATACAAAGAACAAAAATCAACCAAAAAAAATAAAACACTAGCTGGGTAATGCATTACCTCTGTAAATAAGTCAAGGACTCGACGACGATGCCTCTTGCCTGGGCTCTCTCAAGTACCCGAGCAGCGTTTCGGCCTGTCCAAACAGTAGATTAAATATTAAAATCCAACTATGATAAAGAGTGATTCATGATCCAGAATACTTCATGCTTCGCCTCATCTCTACCACAACCACAATCAGACGCTTTCTGCATCCATCAATATCCCGCCGTAGAGATAATGCAAAGCACGCCAGGCCATTAGAGGTCAGTTAGTAGAGAGAGGTTCTTCATTTTCCTCTCAGAGACCGGAACACGAGTCACAACTCAGTGACTCACAATGTCGAGCGAGTGATGGGAACACCATAAAGATTAAAGCTTAAAAGGGCAATGATGAACGGAAAATACCTTCTGCTTCGCTCGAGCCGTGCCCGTCTGAGAGAGCGCAACAAGCGGCGGGATCCCACCTTCTCTCACCAACAATCCTCTGTTCCGTACACTATCCGCGCATAGTTGCAGAAGCGTCAGTACCGCAAACTCTTTCCCTTTCACCGACCCGTCTTCGATCGCTTCAACCAAAACTGCAATCCCTCCTTCTTCGACTATGGCAGTTCTTCCCTCTGGAATTGCAGCTAAGCTGCTCAGAACCACCATCGCCTTCTCCGTCAAACCGCTCCCCTGCTCTGAAATCAAGTCCACCAGCGGTTTCACGGCTCCTGCATTAACGGCCCTCTCTTTGTTCTGTTTCATAGAACAGAGCTTGTAGAGCGTCGTAAGTGCGTCTTTCTTCCCTCGATTTGATCCGCTCAGGAGCAAAGAGACCAGCGGCGGGATCGCTCCGCAAGCACCGATTGAAACCTTGTTGTCTTCGATTAACGAGAGGCTGAGTAGAGCACATGCGGCGTTCTGCTTCGACACCTCTGTACCGGTTTTCAAAACGTAAACGAGAGGCTTTATGGCTCCGGCATTCGTGATGGGGGACTTGTTCCCTTCGTGGAGAGAGAGGTTTAACAAAGCAGTTACCGCGTGCTCTTGTGTCCAGGGATCGGTACAGCGAAGGAGAGGTATCAATGCTGGGATGGCGCCGGATTCACCGATCAGTGCTCGGTTTTCGGATCTATTCTTCGCCAAGAGGCGCAATTTCGCTGCGGCTGAGCGTTTTACGGCAACTGACGGCGATTGAAGACCGTCCACGCAGATCTTCACCGCTGGTTCGAGATTTTCCGGAGAAATGTTCTCGAAGATCTCCGATGAGAGATTCTCCCGCTGCAGAAATCCTAACCATGGCTCAGGCTCCAGATCAGAGGATTCGCAGTTGTGTTGTTCTTCAGATGATGGAAGAGAAGCCAACCTTTGCAGCTCCCCTGAAATGTCGCTACTACAGGCCGAGAAATCACTGAAAGCTTGAGATAGTTCAAGTAAATCGGAGTCAGGAACTGGGGACTTGACTGGTTTGTTGTTCTCCAATACAAGCTCTCTAAGTCTGAAATCGATGATGGATTCCGTTAAGTTTTCCGAGATGTCGGAAGATTTATCGGTGTCCGGACCTGGAAATGAGCAGGTGTTTTCTTTCTGGAATAAATTGGACCGAAATGTTCGCATGGATCGACCTAAGGGCCTCTGAACTTTAGATGAAGACTGAGAAGAAGTAGAGGAAGAGCAGTGAGTCCGCGTAGCAGGAAGTTGGCTGGAGCGGGAATCACCTAACGAAACCATGGCAGCAGGGATAACGTTTGAACCAGCAATTTCAGGTTAATGCTTATGCAAATGAAGGATTTCAAGCTTGTGAATGGATTTCAAGAGAAGTTCATGGTTTCTTTTTTCCTTTTTTTTTTTTCTGGTTAAAATCAATGGAAAGAAGAGCTGCTCGAAAGATGAGATAATGGTGGTGGTTTTCTGTAAAAAGAAGGGAAAGCTGTGAAGAGTCAGGTTTTTGAGTGAGTGACAGAGGGAATTGGTGATTTTAATCTGGTGGCTCTGATGGAACGTGGGACCCCTCTCCACTCAACTTGTCGGCTTCGCCCTTCGCGAATTTTACTAGTGAAGTTACAAAAATGTCCTCTGTTATCTGTTAAAGATTGTCAGAAAATAAGGTATTTTAATTTGAGATTTTATTTACAGCTGCTGAGTGCTGATGAGGAAAGATTCGGTGTTATGACCGAGTCGTGACGGCATCTGCTCCTCACAAATAGGCGCCAGGCACATCCATCATGCATTGTAAACATCTCCCGTAAATAATAACTAATAACTACGGTAGATGTTTTTAAATGCATGATAGGATGTGCATGTGAGGCGCCTGTGAGGCGTGAGGAGTGAGGAATAGATCCGGTCTCGGCCGAGTCTGGTTGAACTCGAAGAAATACACGTGGTGCCTAAGAGTACGAGCCTGATGGACTGGGATTTGCTGGCCTAGCGCGTAGATCAGACGGTTTCAACTGTGCAGATAAGTCTTCCTCGGGTATAAACCGTTGGATAAAAAAATGCCCTCGAAATTCGCAGTATAGAGAGATTCGCACGGACGTCAAATGCCATACAACAGTACGTACGCCTCACGTGTTTTTCGGGACGAGAACTTTTGACCCGAGTACCCGATACCACCATCCACACGGCCACACCTAAGACCTAAGAGAGCTGAGAGCGCCCTCGTTGGGTAAACGGTAACCCGTCTGTTGACTGCTGTCCCGGTTCAGAATGCAACAGACTCCATGCTACTCTTGGATCGAAGAGCTGCACAAACTAGCTTTTTAGTAGCGTTCTCACCTCTTTTGGATAAACAAATTAAAACATGTATGTATGGATTGATCAGCTGAGAAGGTAACTTATAAGATCAAAGTATCGAAACCATGGTGGGTGCCGGGTGGGTTAATTGGAGGGCCAACAATAGCTTTCACATTGAAATCATCAATAGTAATCAAGGATGAATGATTGGAGTATGTGATAAATAGGGTAAATTTCTTAATTAGCTAATTCACCAAGTGTACCTTTATTGTTTGTAAATTGATTAATGTTATTTTTACTGTTTTGATAATTGACTATCTTATTTTAATGTTCAAAGACAAAAAAATATTATTTTATCTTTTATTTTTCTTCAAATTTTCAAAATAAAACATTCACTTTTCATTACTTTTAAACACGTTCAGCAACCCAAATTCAAGGCCCTTAAAGGTCTATAATTTTCTTTGTTGATATTTTTCGTTTTTTTCTTATTTCTGCTGAATTATCAATTCTATCATGTAATTGAGAACTCCTTTTGGTTCAATTACAGGCACTTAATAGCATCTCTAAAATGCTCATTAACGATAGCCATGAAATGAGTCAAACAATCAAATAAAAAAAATAAGCTGATGATCCCATGAAACATCAAAAGAAGAGTATTATTACGGGTAATAAATCAAGTTGAAAATCCTAACTGAAAAACAGAGGAAAACCATAGCTTGTCTAGGTGGGCTACGAAGACTACCAAACGGTGGAGCGTGCGTAGGCAGGTGTAGATCTCTGCCACCCTCCCCCTTCTTTTCTCTACTTTAGAAATCTGATCCTTTCAGATTGCCTGTCCGAGCGCCGGTTTGATTTGATGGACGAGAATGCAGAGGGTCTATTGTTAACCCAAAATTCCTACCCTGCAGACCCACCCATCACCCGAAAGTCGCTGGCCTCAGCCACCGGCCACCGCGCCAGTAAAGTCTTCTCCTCGTTCCCTTGTTCATAAGTGTTAAAGCTCATTACACGTTCGGAAAGGAACTAGGTAGAGGTCAGTTTGGCTTGATGGACGAGAATGCAGAGGGTCTCAAATGTTTGTGGGGTGGATTTCAGAGGAATCTCGGTCTCACTATAAAACCCAAAGATCCAAAGGTCCAAAGATCGAATCCTATCAGATTCGATCGAATCTTCGAATTGGACCAGATCTGACATGAACAATGTTTAATTGTATTTGAATATACCTTGATTCAAATCCAATCCGATTCATTTACATCCCTAATATTTTGTTAATTTAACATCGATTTAGAGTGGGTTTAGAGAACTATATACAAACCCCGTCAGCCACATCTCCGATTTGGGACAAAAATATTTTCCTCATTGTCCTCAATCCTCATCTAAGAATAGGGAAAACCAACTCTTTTCTTAGGAAAAGGCAAGACAGGGCAGGGCGCCAGTGAGGAAAATTGCCATCCTTAGGAGAAGGCATCCATATATACTGCCATCTATGCACTTGTGTTTTGACACGTGTCACAGGCAGCGACGTAAGCATAGATAAAGAATGGTAATGGCCAAGTTGATGTGGTTAACCAGGGTTGTAAAAATATAGCCCTAAAGCTAAAGACCAAAAACAAGGGGTGAGGGGTCTCTCCCAACAAAAAGGGTTTCTATCTGTCACTGTTTTGGCTTGAAGCGTGCGAACACTTGCACATTGTGTTGGTATTTGGTATTTGGTAATCATCATCCCGGGTTTAAAAGTTAAAAAAGTGGCCAACATATGGGCCATTTAGAGTCCAGATGGAGCATCTTCTAAGTTCTACCCGACCCACAAAGACGGTAAAAGCAGAAATAGAATAGACTCATCTGTGCGACAAGGATCATAGGACAATTTGCAAAATCCATTTATGTGCAGGGGTGTGTCGGTGGTGATGCCTTAGTTTGTTGTTCTGTTAAATCTCCTTCCTCTTAAAAGGGATTCTAATATAATGACATCTTACATAAGTCTGACCCACACGACTTCACTATTTCCACGCACGCCTCCCAAGTCCAAACTATCTCGTTCAATAACAAGTGTGGTGATTACTGATAAGTGAAAGAAGAACATCTGAACAACACTTAAACACTAGGCATTACGGGCAGCAGCAAGTCATAAAACGACAAACCCTCCTCTCTTCTTAACCAGGGTAAGCATCATGCCTTTCCGTTTTGATCGGGGTCTTAGGGTTCGTTTTGGCTTTCGCAGGATTTTATTCGTGGAATTTGTTTTTATTGTTTTATTAAAAAAATAGAGCATGTCTTTTGCTTATATTACTTTTGTTGATTAAATTAAGTAATTTAATTTGTAGATTTTATCATAATATATTACGTATATATTATCTTTTATATTACTTATTATATAAAATCAAATATCTAATTGAAGAAGAATGATTAAACCACTTAAGTGAATCAATGATAAAGTGAGACTATGTTCTTTTATAATTATGAGTGTTTGGGTTCAAATTTTTATATCATCAACATATTTTGGGATTTATTTCAAGAAAAATTTAGTTTGTAGGCCAATTCTTTGGATAGGTTCAAGTAGGGGTAAACCTCTAAACCTGGAACCGGCCAAGGTAGGTATCATCAATTCCAAAAATTTGGACTTAGATCCTACCTAATAACAAATTGGATAGGGCTGATTAAAGACTGGTTCAAGGTTGGTTTCATTCAGTTCTAGGTAGAACCGAATCTACTTGTTTGTTCATCCCTAGAAACAACTCAAAGTGCCCAATGCCCAGCTAGTGATTAGGGTTTTGTTAAACAAATTTGATGAGACACACCAACTAAACTGATTTAGTGTTAAACATTATGAAATTGGATTAAAAAGCCATTATCCAATGCTGGCCTGAGCTACATTTTTTACACAAAGTGGTCGCTCTCATATTTGATCTCTCGTTGTGACTCTTGCCAATTTGAGATTTCACTATTGTTCTTAATTCATGTATTTTAAAAAAACACTAACGGGGACCCGTAAGATAAACAATAAAAACATGTAAGAGTACACAATTGTTTTATATAATAATTAATAATCATCTATATTTTATATACTACTTTTAATAATTTTTTTATAATACAAAAATAACAATAATTAATTTTAGATAGGGTTGTTTATCTAACTTAGGGATGGCAATTTTTTCCATTTCTCTAATCCCCATGGGGATCTGCCCCAAATGGGGCAAGGATGGGGATGATTTTCCCCCCTGTGGGGACGGTGATGGCGACGTGTAGGGATGGGGAGAGCACTCCTTACCCTGCGTGGACCCTGACCCCGCCCCATGGGATCCCCGCTAATATATATGTACGCATACGTTTATATATATGTATATATGTACACATAGTCTATATGTTAATATTTTTAAAAATATGATTGAATATGTTTGAATCTTTTCTAATAGGATTATAAATTTTAATTATTTTATTTTTATTTTTTAAACAAAAATAAAAGAACAAAAACATAATGGTTGACATTATAAAGAATCATAGGGAGTGGGGACCCCATGGAGATGGGGATGGGGATGACTTTGTCCCAATTAGCGGGGATGGGGACGAGGACATGGTTGGGGATTTTCATGGGGATGGGGATGGGGAGAGGCTCCTTGTCCCTGCCTCGCCTCATTGCTATTTCGAATCAAACTAATGAAACTGACCAACCCTATATTTAGTAATTCCAGTCGGCTTTAGTTCAACAATTTCCCAACCTAACTGGGTTGGATTAGTTTTACTTTGGCCATTTGTAAACTAACTAAAATCGAATGACCTGACCATAGATATATATTAATATTTTATATTTTAAATATATTTTTTTAATACTAGAAAGTAGGAAAATTCTAATATTTCCTAGGCTAAAATAGTTTATATCATAAATTTAATTTTTAAATAATGCCATTATAAATTTTTAAAATTTAAACTTAATTTTTAAATTTAATTTTTTAAGTTTAAAATTTTAAACCGATTGACCAAACCAAAAATTGACCCAAACTGATATAACCTAAGTGACTAATCCTCCAATCTGACCAAGTTGATTTGGTTGGTCAAACAACCTACAACTAAACTGAACCAACCCATGAACAATAGTTTAATCTCCAATAATTATTAAAAATTTATAGTGAAAATACATAATAAATTATATTTAAAAATCTAAGTAACAGTAGTTTAAACTCTAATAATTATTGAAAATTTTCTATTAAATAAAAAAATAAAAAAATATATTTATACATAA